CCCCAAAACCCCAAAACCCCAAAACCCCAAAACCCCTTTATCTAGCTTAAAAATTGATATAATTTTTTATTGTAATGAATTCTTCGTTGCCAGGTCCTAATAAATTCCCTGTGCTGGATAGGCTCTACCAGAAGCAGGTAGATTACTATGATTCTAAAGTAATAACTGACATAATTTATAATGAAAATACTAACCTAGTGTCTATTTTTAAGGACTATCTCATCTATGATGATGTGAGTGAATTCCTAAAGAGGTAAGTCTCCCTTGAAACGAGTATATAGGTCTTATACCATTAAAGAATCGCAAGAAAGGCTACCAAAAGTCTTTGAATTTTATGAAAAATACTCAAAAGTGTTCCCTAATTATGTGACACTTCCTGAAAATAAATGCATGTTCAAGAATATTGAAAGGAAACAGAAGATGATAGATGACAAGCAGAATGCTCTAGATGTAATTGATAGAAGGAGACGCAAGAAAAATAATGGGCATTTCTCAGACCTCCTAGGTGAAAGTTCTATTGACATGTTCTCAACGAAATTTATGGACTCGATACTCAAGCAAGATGAAGAACTTGAGAAGTTACGCAAGCAAAATGAAATTAATGAGAAGTTCGTCAAAGCTGTTGAAGATTTTACTAAAAATGATTCTTTAATAGCTCCAGTCAACCAGAGTCAGATGTCTGTTAATCTCAGCATGAGTGAGATGGACGATAAAGAAAATAGTGATCTTTCATGAATAAAATCTCAATTTACTATTGATCAAAATCAATCTCATCATACAAGCTCATCCAAGAAGGAAGAAGTGGAGAAAACTCCTGTGGGAAGTACAAATACTAAAAATACCCGTAAGGTAAATGTCTTTGAGTACAACAACTTGGCCAATAAAAAGTTAAAGTTAATAAACCTAAATAAACCTTTGCAAAGAACAGACATAATTCGTCTTGAGAACTCTCTTGACTTAGACAAGAGTACGCCTGCTCAGCAAAAGAATCCTGGGAAGAGTTCTATTTTATCCAGCCAAAGGTTGGCCAAAAATGCTATAAATTCAATCCCCAAGCTAAACAAGAAGGTGTCTTTGAAGAGCCTAAAAATGTCAGAGAATGATGATAGGCGAACCTTCATCAGCAGCACCGAGAGGCACATGGATCTGACCAGTAACAAGCAAAAGAATTCTGAGAAGAATACAGAGCCTGGAATAATAATCACGAACAGATCTGAAGGCCAAAAAGTAATTAAATAAGAGGAAAAAGATTATAATGGATAATAAACTTACTACAAGAGCACTGCTTGCTGAAAGAATAGCTGCTCACGAAAGGAAGAAGACTGAGATTTGGAACCATAAGGGATTTAAAGGAGGTAATTAGTATAGTAACCATTAGATACCCGCCAATCCTTTCTGACTAGACATGTGCAGGGTACCATTCCTAACCCTATGATGGTCACGAATGGAATCAATAATACTCACAGACATACTAAATCAAAAGAAGTTTTAATTAAGAATGACAGGAGATTAGCTAACCCAATTACTTTGAAGAGTCAAAAATCATACAAAAATATATACCCAAACCCTATGAGTATGAATGCAAGAAACACTAATCAGTCATGAAAGAAGAGAAAGAAAGGGAGAGCTCTCCAGTCTCATCATAAAGATCAGTTAAGCATTCCCCCACAGATAAAAGGGAATCTGCAAATTGAGTCAACAGCTAGTGGCCATTCCTCAATAAAATAGAAATAACGCAGATAGTTCTTCCAGAAAGTTTTCGAATGCAAGCACATCAAGGTTCAATACTGAATCTTTAGGATTGACTCTAGTACGTCCAAAGGGTGGAGCCTCGTTTAAAGACCAAAAATTAAATGAGAGAAACTTCAAAAATCATATTGTTACTGAAAGATATAAAAACCCAGATTCAAATAAGACTAATCCACGGTTTGGGAGTAAGGACAGAAAGAGTACTAATTTAACCAATAAACAATTGAAGTCCATCAAGATCAGAGGAGCTTCGAGTAGTGAGCTAGGACCTCTACCCGCTACTACGAATAATAACCACTATTATGGCCGATTTTTCAACACAAATGCTTCAGAGAGACAATCTAAGGAGTTGTTTCTAAATGACAAGAATTTGAAGAGTATGAAGTACTTTAAAAAGTCCCAGGTAAATTCCTAATTTAACCAATTTAGATAAACCGGGACAAACAGAAACCAAGGATTGAAGGCTTAGGGAAGTACTATGGACCCTTGACTGAAAGGAATAAGCAAAGAACTTGCCATTAAAGCTTCGAATATGAAATAAAAATGGTCAATTTTTATTCATATTAAGGGGTTTTGGGGTTTTGGGGTTTTGGGGTTTTGGGG